GAGTTGATTCTTTTCAAAAGAACTGCCAAAGAACAGAACTGCCAAAGAACTAGTGTCAGGAAACAGTGGGTTTTTTGCATTTGCCTAACTTCATTGCGGTTTCAACCAAGCTCAATAGGATCGGAACCGGTTTCAGATGGGAATGACGGTCATATAACCCAATCTGCAATTCACTTTAAATCATAGTGGGAATGAGGCTTAAGAATGCCTTGGCTTCACATATCTGTTAATAATGTTCAGTAGGCCATCCCACTAGGCCAGTGTAATGTAGTGGCATGAGTGTTAGACTAGGACTCTGGGAGACCAAGAGTTTGAATCCTGGCTTGGCCATAGAAATCCACTGGATGACCTTGAGCAAGTCACACATACTCAGCCTTAGAGCCAATTGCAAGCTCCCTCTGAAGAAATTTGCCAAGAAAACGCCATGATAGGTTCACTTTTAGGGTTGCCATAAGTCGGAAATGACTTGAAGGCACACAACAAGGCTGCCCCACCCAAAAAGGACTCAGAAGCAAATGCCGGCAGGAAAATGAATAAAATGAATTAAAAATGGTTTACAAAAGACAAGAATTGTTCCTAAATACACTCATTGGGGAGAACTTTCAGTTTGGCTTGAAGATAATAAGCTACACTGGTATCCTAGAAAGAGAAGTCAGAAAAATTATGTTTTGGATCACAACTCCCAGAATGCACCATCTGCAGTGGGTTAATGAGATCACCCAGCCAGTAAGCATACTTGCTGGGGATTCTGGGAGATGTGTTCCAAAGTAACATTTCCAAGGTCTGAGAAATTAGACTAACAGACCAATGCTTAGTTATCTACACTGGGCACTGGATTATAAACCTGGAGTAGATGTTGGTACTTCTGAATATTTCCTTTGCCGTGATGCAGTATTTAATCTGCAGTATGCAGGCCTGTTTTGTAAGTGATACAACTGCTGTGAAATAGAGTTTGCTAAAATAAAAGTATAATTATTCCCCTCGAAAAGCACTTGCCCTGCCTTGCGTGAATATCTTGATTTAACAGGGGTAATTCAGTAAAAAAGTAACTAAGTGGCACGTCATGCTGTTCTGTAATGGCAGAGTGGACATACTGTTCTATTTTATGACTCTTGGGAGGGAGGCCCAAATGGAAGGGAAGGTGGACAGAAGAGGAGAATGAAGTAGAAAGGCAGATATTCATCCTTAATGTCAGTGGCATTCCTGGGCTTGGTGTCACCTGGCTGGTAACTCATGGTGCCACTGACCTCCTCCTATACCACACCATACAGTATTCCTAGTGATGTTATTTTGTAGTAATGTTACTCATAAACTATCATTCCCATAAAGCACTGAAGATAACAGTTGTGACATAAAAAACCCTACCAAATTAAAAATAGACCTTTAAATTACAAGATCATACACACACAATTGAAGATGGTAATGGGAAAAAACCCTCTGAAGAAACTTTGCCAAGGAAACCTTATGCCTTAGGGTTGCCATATGTCAGAAAGGATTTGAAGGCACGCAACAACCAACACACAGAATAAATGTGTTTACTTAGACATAGTTTCATTTGAACAAAAATCCATCAGTGATACCTTTATTGGCCAACCAAAATTCACAATATACATAATAATAATAATAATAATAATAATAATAATAATAATAATAATAATAATAATAATAATAATTTATTTATTTGTATCCCGCCCCTCTGAGAACAATCGGAGCGGCTAGCAGCAATTTAAAATTACAAACAATATAAGTCCAAAAAGGCCCCAAACCCACCCACCCCTTAAAAAAGTATTAAACCAACGAACTATTAAAGCATCTAGTTAAAAAGACATAGAATAAAAACTGATTACAAATAACAATATAATAAAACACACGGAGCAGCAGGAACGTCCAAATTGTGAGAGGGTGGGATAAAGGGGTTCCTGAGGCCGGGAAATCTATTCTGGAAAGGCCTGCCAGAAACTTGTTGTTTCTGAATAGTGTCATTTAGTTAGAGTGAAAAGTTGGTAAAAGGTGATGTTCTAAAAGAAAATTACAAAAAATTTAAACTAAATTTTGAAATTTGAATTAAAAAAACTGGGGGCTCTTCTTTCTCCTCCAACTGAGCCTCACCCCACTCACACCATCTCTTCAGCATTTTAATGGGACACTGGCAAATGCCACAGCCTGTTTCTGCCCAAAAGCAGATGTTTGAGGAATAGTGGTGTCACCCGCTACTTAGGTTGTCACATGTGGGTCTGCATTTCCCACACCCCTCATAGGGATGCCACTGCTTGATGTACACATTAAACAGCAACACCCTCAAACACATCAGTGACAAGCTTGCTGAAGTGAACAAGATATAGGCCAGCAGAGTATTCTGTAAGCCGGAATGTCTTATTAAAAAAATCCCATAGACTTTGAAGGATTTCCCTTAAAAGAGCTGATAATTGCATATGGGTCGAACTTCTAACAATTGCAACAGTAGATATCCCCATGTTTTGAGATTTAAATATATTTTATTTCAGAGTTGGCAATATTCAGAGCTGGGGGTTAGGGGTCACCACCAGCCCTCATCCCAACAAGGAGGCACCACATCCAGGAGCCATCCCACATCCTGAGACACTTGCTGTCCCTCTCCAGTGGCTTTTGGGGTGTCCATGCCTGTCAGGTCAGGGCAGTGAAGAGGAAGAGGAGCCATGGATGCTTGTTTGCCTGTTCTTTCCATTGGGCCTGGTGGAACAGAAGCAACAGAGAGAGGGTCCAGAGTTTCTTGCTTGTTCCTGCTGTTGCCTGCCACCACTCCATTAGGACAAGGAGACTAAGGAATGATCTGCTGCTCTGGTTCCTTTTCCTTTTTACTTGATTGAGACAGGTCCTTAAAAGAAAAAGGGGACCCCCCCCCCAAAAAAAAGGATCTTGGCTGTAGCAGGGAGTAGAAGCAATAAGATCATTTACCAATACCAGTGCAAAGAAAGGGGTAAGATGCAGTCTGGCAACACTCTATTATATGAAGGTATAGATGAGAAGACCCATTTCAAGTGGCCCCAAAAACACACCTACTGCTAGCAGTATGCAGATGACACCCAACTCTGTCAAGAGCACACAAATTGAAACTTAATGGGTCAAAACAGGTGCTCCTGGTCATGTGAGAGACAGATCAATGAATAGGGATTCATCATGTGCTGGATGTTGTTATGTTCTCCCTGAAAACAGATCTGCAGCTGGGATGCAATCCTGGAAGCTCAGGTCTCAGCAGTAGCCAGGAATGCATTTGCACAGTTAAAGCTTGTACACCAGCTGTACCTAGAGATTTCTGGTTATGGTAACATACGCCTTAGTTATGGTTATGGTAACATATGCCTTAGTTACGTGCCATGTGGATTGCTGTAACCTGCTACATGGGATGGCCTTTGAGGAGTGTTTTGAAACTTTAGCTGTTTGAAAAAGCTACTGACCATGGCCTCATCCGCACTACAGAAATAATGCAGTTTGAGACTGATTTAACTGCCATGGCTCTATCCTATGGAATCCTGGGATTTGTAGTTTGTTGAACTCTTTGACAGAGGCTAAATATTTCACAAAATGACAAATCCCAGAATTCCATAGTATGGAGCCATGGCAGTTAAAGTGGCATCAAACAGCATTATTCATGCAGTGCAGATGAGGCTCATGACTATAAAACTCCTTGTTAGAACAGGTTCATTGGCTACTGTTGTGTTTCAAGGCACAAAGTGCTGTTTATGGCCTATAAAGGCCTCTATAGCTTGGGTTCAGATTGCTGTAGTCCAAAACACACTGTAGAAATAATCCAGTTTGTGACCACTTTAATGGCCCTGGTTCAGTGCTAGGGAATTCTGGGAGCTGCAGTTTTGGGAGACATTTAGCCTTCTCTATCAGAGAGGTTTGGTGTCACAATAAACTACAATTCCCAGGATTCCCGAGTACGAGCCAAAGCTGTTAAAGTGGTCTCAAACTGGATTATTTCTGGAGTGTGTTTTGGACCTGTCTATATTCTATCAAATGAGCCTGTTTGGGTTTTGAAAGCTTCAGGGAATGCCCTTCTCTTCATCCCAGCATCCTGACAGATGGGAAAATGAGAGAGGACCTTCTTGGTGACCGCTCCTAGGCTCTGAAACTTTTCATAGAGAGTCTAGGCTAGTGTTCTTCCAGTGATAAGACAATACTTTTTCGTATTTAATATATGGGGTGAGGAACCAATTGCTCACGAGGAAACTACTTTTGGTAATGTCCTGTATTGCCTGCATTTGTTGCTTGCTTTTTATTTCTATTGATAGTCGAATTTATATTTAAACTTTTGCATGTTTTTATTGATGTGAGCTTTTATCTGTGTTTGTTTTAAATTTTGTAAGTCTCCTGGAGTCCCATGACTGGGTAAAGTGTGGAATATAAATAAACCTAGCAGAAATACTACTAGTCGTAGTGGTAGTTGTAGTGACAGTGATAGGCATGCTTTATCCAGGCTGTACAGGAGCCTTCTTTGTCTGATGACCACCAGATATTTTGGACTTCAGCTCCCACCAGTCCCAACCAGAATGGTCAGCAACTAGAGTCCAAAACATCAAAATGTTTTTCGTTTGGGAATGCAGTTCTATAGTATAAGTTACATGGAGCATATAACTCTCTTGTTAAAACAAGAGAGTTATATGCTCCATGTAACTTCACTGGTTACTAGTTCATTTTTGGGCACAATTCAAACTGCTGGTCATGACCTATAAAGCACTATATTGCTTGGACCCAGACTATTTGAAAGACTGTATCTCCCAGTATGAACATGCCAGAACTCTTAATCTTCAAAGGAAGATTTTCTCTCAGTACCACTACCATTACAGGCTGTCTTGGTGAGAATACAAGAAAGAGATTTCTCAGTGTCTGTTCCCACCAACTAGAACTCCTTTCCATGGGAAACTAGACTGACCATCTCCCTGCTTTCCTTTCCCCATCATGCAAAGACATTTCTGTTTAAGTACGCTTTTAATGTATAAGTAGGGAGGCTTTTGAGGGGCCACTGTGGTGTAGTGGTTTGAGCGTTAGACTAGGATTCTGGAGACTAGGGTTCGATTCCCCACTCGGCCATGAAACCAACTGGGTGACCTTGGGCAAGTCACATGCTCTCAGTCTCAGTGGAAGGCAGTGGCAAACCTCTGAGTAACTCTTGCCAAGTAAACCCCATGATGGGGCCATCATAAGTCAGATATGATTTGTAGTCACACAACAACAGCAAAGGGGGGCTTTTTATTGGAGTGGATTATACAAAAGGAGGCGGTCCCGAAGATAGGTTGGACCCAAGCCATTTAGGGCTTTAAATGTAATAACACCTTGTACTGTGCCCAGAAACTGCTAGACAGCCAGTAAAGCAATCTTAAGATTGGTGTTATATGGTCTTTTCTAATTTTATTTGAGACCAGCCTGGCTGGCATGTTCTGCATCAATTGAAGTTTCTGAACTAGACACAAGGATAGCCCCATTTAGAGTGCATTACAGATATCGAGATGGGAGGTTGCCAACACATGTACCAGGTCCCTAACCTCCAGGAAAGGGTGCAGCTGGTGTATCAGCCAGAGCTGATAACAGGCGCTTCTGACAATCGCTTTCACCTGATTTGTCATCTGAAGCGACAGATCTAGGAGCACCCCCAGACTGCGAACACAGTCCTTTGAGGAGAGTGTGACCCTATCTAGGACTGGGGATTGTATCCCAATACTTGGGTTCGGGGCCGCTACCGTTAGTACTTCTGTTTTGCCTGGATTCAATTTCAATCTGTTTTTCCTCATCCAATCCATTACTGCTTTAAGACATTCATTGAGGGGGGGGGATGCCATCTGAAGTCAAAGCTGTAGACTGAGACATGGAGAAATATATCTGGGTGTCATCAGCGTACTGATAACACTCCGCTCCATGTCTCCGAATGATCTCTCCCAGTGGCTTCATATATATGTTGAATAGCATCAGGGACAGGATGGCACCCTGAAGGATGCCACAATTAAGCTCCCTTTTAGCTGAGCAACTGTCCCCGAGCATCACACTCTGGAATCTGCCTGAGAGGAAGGAACGGAACCATTGCAATACCTCCAATGCTTCAATTTCTAATTCTCTCAGGTGCTTCAAGAGGATGTGTGAAAGGCCGCTGAAAGGTCCAGTAGCACCAACAGGGTCATACTACTCACAGACAGAGATCATCAGCTAAGGCAACCATGGCAGATTCCACTTCATATCCTGTCTTAAAGCCAGTTTGAAATGGATCCAGATAATCAGTTTCCTCCAAGACAGCCTGGAGCTGAAGGGCAACAGCCCTCTCGATCACCTTGCTCAAGAAAGGTAATAAAGAAACTGGCCTATAGCTGTTCATGTCCAGAGGGTCAAGGGAAAGTCTTTTCAGAAGCAGCTTGACCACCACTTCCTTCAAGCAAGATGGAACCTGACCTTCCCTAAGGGATGTATTGATGATGTCCCTCAGGAACATCCTCAAGGTATCTCTCCCCCGGATGGCAGTCATGAAGGGCAAGGGTCAAGAGGGCAGGTTGTCTTCCTCACCCTACCAAGGAGCGTGTCCACATCATTGGTACTCACCAATTGGAACTGATCCAATATAATCCCATCAGCGGAGTTGCTGGACACCTCATCTATCGATTCTGCTATAACACCAGCGTCTAAGTTGGCTCTTATCTGAGAGATTTTATCTGCAAAGAAGTTGTTAAATGCTTCACAGCAGGCCGTTGTCAGGTTAAGTAATGGGTTCTGCACAGGTGGAACCTTTGCTAGTTCCTTTACCACTCTAAACAGCTCTGTTGGATGAGACTCTGCAGACACAATACATGCAGAGGAGAAAGATTTCCTCACTGCATGCATTGCCTCTCTATAGGAACAAGGAAATTCCTATGATGAGTTCTGTCAGATAAGAGTCGGGTTTTCCGCCTGACGCACTATAGTCATTGTCCAACCCACTCCATCTTCCTGAGTTCTTCAGTATACCATGGTTGGCAGTTTGAAGCAGGTTGGAAAGGATGCTTGGGAGCAATCGTGTTGATAGCCTTGGCAAGATTGGTGTTCCAGGTATTAACCAAAGCTTCGACAGAATCACCGGTGTTATCAACCATTAAACCCTATAAGGCTGGGACTGGCAACCTACGGCCTGGGGGCCGGTTAAGGCCCCGGGCCCCGGACTTACTGGCCCAGGCCGAAGGTCGCCGCCGCCGCGCGCCGCTGTCGGGGCACGTTTTCGGCCGCGCTTGCTGCGGCCGCCATTTTGGAAGTCAAAATGGCAGTCACGACGTGTTTGCGCATGCACAGTACTCTTGCGCATGCGCAAACACGCCACATCTGCCATTTTGACTTCCAAAATGGCGGCCGCGACATGCGCCGTGGTGGCTGTGGCCATGTGCGCTACGGCGGCGGCGAGTGGGGGGGTCGCACATGGCGGGCGTGTGCGTGAGTGCACGCGCCGCCATTCCCTCCCCCCCCTGGCCCAGCCGAGACCTGGGCTACGGGAGACCGGCCCAGGTCTCAAAAAGGTTGCCTGTCCCTGCTCTAAGGCTTTCTGGAATCCAGTTGGTTCCATTAGCCTTCGAGGGCAGACCATTCTAATGGGTCCTCCAGCCCTGACTGGACAGACAATGGTTCTTAGTTCAGCCTTGATCAGGAAATGATCTGTCCATGACAATGCAGAGGTTTTTGTTACCTCCGCTCATGGATATACCTGTTCCGTACTGAAGACCGCATTGAGGGTATGACTTGCACAATCTGTGAGTCCGAAGACCAATTGGGATAGGCCCATGTTTGTTGTGGACTTTATGAACTCCCGAGCCGCACCTGTTAGATTTGACAAACTGGTCTCGAGTGGGATGTTGAAGTTGCCCAAGACTAAGAGTCTAGGTAATTCCAACAGCAACTTTGAGACCAGTTTTGTCAGCTTGGTTAGGGAGTCTGTTAGACAATACGGTGGACGGTATATTAACAGAATCCCCAAACTCTCCTTGGTCCTCAGGCTGAGGTACATATACTCAAAGTGGAGTATATCCTGGTCAAAGTAAGGTTATTCTTATGAACTAGAGCCACTCCGCCCCCTCGCTCACTTCCCCATACCTGCTCCCTGACAGACTACCCAGCTGGGAGGGCCTGTGCCCAAGTTATAACCCTGACTTCTCCCAGCCAGGTCTCTGTAAGGCAAGCCAGGTTGGCATCTTCAGCTAGAAGAAGATCATAGATGGTCTGAGACTTGTTTTTGACTGACCAGGCATTGCAAAGGAGCAAGGTAAGGTTCTGGTATGCTTGGTGCACTCTCCAATCCATTCCGGGAAACAGGGTGAACTGAAGGCGGGATAGCTTTCAAACATTGATCCCACCTTTCTTTGTAACAAATTTTCATCCTGTTCCTGCCATACCTTTCTTTTCCTCACACAACCTCAATTTCCGCTCCCAGAGGAGGCACACCTCCTCCCAACCGCTGTGGCTGTAGGGATTCGGGTGTATAATTCTGCAGACAAAAGGCCTTTGCAGATTGCCAGAAATAGTGCAAATTGAGTCCACTTTAACTGCCCTGACTCAGTGCTAGGGAATCATGAGAACTGTAGTTTATTGTGGTACCAGAGCTCTCTGACAGAGAAGGCTCAATGTCTCAGAAAAAAATACAATTCCCATGATTCCCTAGCACTGAGCCAGGACAGTTAAAGTGGACTCAGTTTGCACTATTTCTAGCAGTCTGCAAAGGCCCAAAGATTCTAAGCTTCAGCCGAACAGGAGCAAGGAAACTTTGGCAGATCAGTTCCACCAAACCTCAAATTGGAAATTAATTCCAAGATGGCTTTTCTATCCTCCATTGCTCTACTTAGGTTTTGTCGATTCAGACCCATGACCTCCCTGATTGCATTTATTAGTCTGGTGGACAGTCTTCGGGGGGTTGCAGACTGCCAGAAATAGTGCAAATTGAGTACACTTTAACTGCCCTGACTCAGTGCCCGGGAATCATGGGAACTGTATTTTATTGTGGCACCAGAGCTCTCTGACAGAGAAGGCTCAATGTCTCAGAAACAAAACAAATCCCATGATTCCCTAGCACTAACCCTAACCCTTAAAGTGGACTCAATTTGCACTATTTCTGGCAGTCTGCAACCCCCTTCCTCTTTTTCTGCTGCCTTCTACCTTTCCTAGCACTATTGTCTTTTCCAATGATTCATGCCTTCTCAGGATGTGGCCAAAGTACAACTGGCTTAATTTAATCAGCTTCCTGGGAGAGTTCAGGCCTGATCTGTTCAAGGATCCATTTGTTTGTCTTTTTGGATGTCCACGGTATTCTTGGTACTTTTCTCTAGCACCACATCTCAAATGTGTTGATTTTCTTTTTATCCACCCTAGGCAAGGAATACTCAGAGGTGGTTTTGCCAGTACTTTCCTTAAAGCACCTGGTATTCTTTGGCTGTCTCCTATCAAAGTACTGATCAGGGCCATGTTTAGCTTCTGAGATCATACAGGATCTGGTACCTTTTATTTGACCCTAAAATGGTTATGTTATAAGGTGCAATGTAAACTAAACAGAAAACAGCAGCATCTATCAAACAAGTTGAAATCTTGTGGTACCCCCTCCCTGCAAGCATCACAGACTTGAACAGAATGCTTCCAAAATTGTCTTATGAAACTATTTTTGCAGGAACAGAACCACCTTTCGTCTTATATACAACCTGCAGAGTTGGTGTAGAAGTTATCATGGTAAGAGATCAAGTGGGAATAAACAAATTTGTACTCCTCTGTGCTGACAGTGGACCTTATCACACGCGGGGCTCAAAGCGGCAAGAAAGCGATA